GCGCAGCGCGGGCTGGAGGGTCATGGGCCGCACCTTGGAGGAAGCCGGGTTAACTTCAAAGGCAAGTGTCGGAGAGCCGCGCGGTCCTAAGGTGCCCTTCCCGCGTGCTTTGTGGGAAAGGACCTTATCCCAGCCTCTCTCGGAAGGCGGATGCAGTTTGGAACTTTGAGAGAGAAACCTTCATTTCATTTCCATCTCCGCTACGAAGTGTGGACGTTTCTGTGCAACATGTTTACCAAAATCCTTCTTAGCAAAGCTAGGTTTCAATGACAAGCGGTGATTATTGCAACATTATTTGAGGATTACCCGGGGCATGATGGTTACAGACGGTATTTCCAGCATCTGTGTATTCCTTAATTCATTATGATGAGTAACAGCTAACCTTTTTGGAGCCCTAAAGACGTGTAGACATAGTATCTAATTCTACCCCTTGCAACCACCCTGGGAGGCAGGTCCTAGTCACTGCATTCTGCAATTTGGAGCTTGGAGAGAGGGACACATAGTTTGGCTGGGACTGTTGGCTGGGCAGCGGCAGGCTGCCTCGGAGCTCGCATGGTGATAGGGGAGTGACAGGAACAGCGAGGAGGAGGTAGAAGCGGCATTAGAAGCCCGGGTTCCTGGAATTCAGGGGAGTCGTGTTTTAGATCTCCGTTTCCAGTGATGTCTCCACACGCAGCATTTGGGCCACACTGGGGGGCTGTTTCCATTTCTAGATGAAAGTGCATCCGCGTTGAGTACCGTTTGATTAACTCCTTAAAAAAAAAAAGATCCTGGCTGTGTTTGGGGTTTTGCTGGAAAATGATAGATGTTGGTTAATATTTTGTCTTTCTAGTTAGAGGTGCCAAAATCGATTTTTTTTTTGAGAGGGGAAAAATGAGATTCCTAAGTTTCAGATACTGCCGCAAAGTAATTGTCTGACTTTGAAATCCTTGCCATACAAAAAAAAAAAAAGCATCTGTGAACGCTCCCCTTTGTGTCATCAGCTCCACTGGGGTGATGCTCCCGTTTTGGGAAGCAGCTCCCCCTGTGGCGGGGCCGTCAGAGCTGCATGTCACAGTTTCTTTCTGACTGGCCTTTAATGCTTGTCCCTCACTCCCCCCCCCCCCCCCCCCCCCCCCCCCCCCCCCCGCGGCAACGTGTCTACCACCGCGTTGCCCGGCGACTTCCGAGAGGTGCTCCAGCGGCGGCTGGGGGAGCTGGAGAGGCAGCTGCTGCGCAAGGTCGCGGAGCTGGAGGACGAGAAGTCCCTGCTGCACAACGAGACCTCGGCTCACCGGCAGAAGACAGAGAGCACCCTGAACGCGCTGCTGCAGAGGGTGAGCGAGCTGGAGCGAGGTGGGTGCCAGTGCTTCCTCGCGTCTCTGTCGCCCGCCCACTGCCTCCCCTCCCTCCAGACCGCCAGAGGCAGCTGCTGCGCAAGGTCGCGGAGCTGGAGGACGAGAAGTCCCTGCTGCACAACGAGACCTCGGCTCACCGGCAGAAGACAGAGAGCACCCTGAACGCGCTGCTGCAGAGGGTGAGCGAGCTGGAGCGAGGTGGGTGCCAGTGCTTCCTCGCGTCTCTGTCACCCGCCCACTGCCTCCCCTCCCTCCAGACCCCCCACCCCTTGGCTCAGAGCAAGGGAGGGCAGGCAGAGAGGGGCCAGCCCGGGGCGCTCTTGCCCATGTACAGACAGGCCAGCTGGGTGAGGGAGTGGCTGCTCCCGGACCCCCACCCGCTGACTCTGTTCCCAGGTCGTTTGCTGAGATAGGCTCCGGGGCTGCTGTCAGTCATCCCTGAGCCCACCTGACAGGTGCCGAGAACCACCTGACGCCTCACCGTGCAGGCAGCAGCCCGCCCGTCCCTTCTCTCCTTGGCCCCAGGGCTGCTTAGCCTTGTCTGCCACCTGCAGCCTCTGATGTGTTGGCCAGGCCCTTTAATGCCTTCATTGGTTGTAACTAAGTTTCTTCTGGACTTCCCAGCTGTGTGGTATAAACGGAAGGCACCCCCTCTGGTAGGATGGGCCCCCTCCCCTGCCTCTTGGCCCTCCAGCTCTCATTAAACCTGTCATTACCAAGCTCACGGCAGTACCAACACGCAGCCTTATTAAATCAGCAAGCCTGCCCACCTGTAAGGGTAGGAGCTATTTCTCTTTATTAGATAATCGCGCCTTCGTGAAGCGCATGGGCACTTGCAGATTACACACCCTCGGGGGCTGCGTAGAGTAGGAAGAGGGGCTGCTGCTCGCTGCGCCGTCATCCCCTAGCTGCGCGCCCTGAGCCGGGGTGCAGCTGCGGAGCCGGGAGTTGGGGCTTCCTGGTTCTCTGAGTTTTGCTTCAGCCTCCTGTGGGGCCTTCTCGCCCGGCCTGGCCCCATGCTTGGCTCCCGCAGGTGACCGGTCTTCTTGTCAGCCCTCGCCAGGTGGCCAGCAGCCCTGCAGCCTGGGGTGAGGGCGCCCTGCGGGGGAGGTCAGGGTGGATCAGGCAAGACGACACCATCAGCAGAGAGGAGTGAGACCGCACGTGGAGCCCAGATTCGAGTGCTTCCACGCTGCCTGCTCCCAAGAGGTTGGGAGGGTGACGCTGGGCCCTGCTGCTTCCCTTTCAGAAGCTCTTCCCTGGGTGGTGTGAACCCTGGCTCCAAAGAGCGTCCTCATGTATGATGTACTGTGACAGAGAAGGCGTTTGGGGGGTCACGGTGGAGAAGGGGGGTCACGGTGGAGAAGGGTTGATTGTTCTGGCTCCTGTTCTCAGGAGTGAGGAAGGGGCTGAATTGGTTCTGGGTCCTGGGAGCCTGCGGGTCTCTGGCGGCGATGGGGACCACCTGGCCCTTGTGGTGCCTAATAAACACTTGTCAAAGGAGGGCATTTAGGCTCCTTCACCGGCAGCATCTGGTCCCCAAATAAGAGGGAAGCTTCTGGCCTGACGGCTCACAGAATCGGGGGGTGCCCTTCGGATGTCTGAACCTGGTGACCGGAGGCAGGTCTTGCCTCCTGTGTGTTTACTTGTTGTTAATTTTGAACTTGAGGCTGCATTGAGAACTGCTTGGACCCATTTAAGAGTACCAATCACTTTAAAGGATGTTGGAAGCATCGTTTACCTGGGGACAGCCAGGAGGATTCTCACCCGTCCCGGGCGGGTCCAGGAGGGTCAAGGCTCCGGCCAGTGGGGAGGAAAGGGCGAATCCTGAGCCACTCCACACCACGAGCCAATCCGTGTCAGGGATGTATGCAGAGGCCACGTCTGAGTTACGTTTAGAGCCAGGACACAATCACCTGACTCTGTTGCCCTGGCAGCGGCGACTTGTTCCTGTGAGAAGTGACAAAGGCTTACTGGCTTGACAGGCGTCTGTCGAGTGCCTGGGATCTGTCACATGTCCTGCCTCCGTGCTCCTGACCCCGCCCTTGCTGAAGGAGCTGAGGGTCCAAGATGGCAAGGACATAGTAAGACTTGACCGAGAAAAGGTTTTCCGGCTTAATTTAACCAGAAAACGAAGTCCAGCTTGTCTCTACCTGCTTCCTCCAGATCTGAAGAGCGAGGTCACTCTTGGTCACGGCTGGAGTTTCAGCACTTTGGACAGCGGCTGTCCTGTAGCAGATGCTCCATGGATGGAAGGATTGACTTGGGGGTGGGGGTGAGGGAGGGGGGTCCAGGTGAGTTGGGACTCCGTCCTTGCTGGACGGGTGGGGGCTAATGTGCTGCTGGCCTCTCTTCTCCCCCAGGCAACAGTGCGTTCAAGTCGCCCGATGCATTCAAAGTGTCCCTCCCCCTCCGCACAAACTACCTGTATGGCAAGGTCAAGAAGACGCTGCCCGAACTGTACGCCTTCACCATCTGCCTGTGGCTGCGCTCCAGCGCCTCGCCCGGCATCGGCACCCCGTTCTCCTATGCGGTGCCTGGGCAGGCCAACGAGATTGTGCTGATCGAGTGGGGCAACAACCCCATCGAGCTGCTCATCAACGACAAGGTGAGGCCGCTCGGAGGCCACCTTCCTCGTCACGGTGGCAACAGAGGTCGGGAAGTCACAGGGACTCTGGCAGCGGGCTGCGGGCTGTCCTCCTCCTGGTGGGGACTGCTCTGCACTGACTCAGTCCTGCTCTGGACAGCTGACGAGTCGGGGGGCAGGGTCCAGGCCAGAGGTCAGGGAGGCCCGGAATGAGCTGGGACGCCTGCATGCCAGCCTGAATTGTCACGGGCCCTGAGGTGTGTCCATGAGGGTGTTTCCCAGGCTGCAGTGCTTAGAGGAGGGTGTGTGTGTGTGTGTGAGTGTGTGTGTGTGTGTGAGTGTGTGTGTGTGAGTGATGGTTCTCATGAGCATATCTTTTTGTTGGGGGGGGGGTGGTATTGAGATATAATTTACATGCAGTAACATTTACACTTTTTACTGAGTTGACCGGCTTTGACAAATGCAGTCAGTTGCACATCCATTACTGCAATTAGAACCGAGGGTGTCATCACCTCCCGGATGTCCTCATTTCCCTGGTGGTCAGCTCCTCTTTCTACCCCAGCCCATGGCAACCGCTGATCTGGTCCTCGTCCCTACGGTCTTGCCTTTCCCAGAGCAAATGTCCCCTTTTAATAGACGGGCTGGTTTTTGGGAGTGTGGTCTCCCCAAGAGACAAGCTCTGGGCGTCTGCGGGACCCTCCAGCAGCCCCACTCCGACATTCATTCTGAAGTCAGACCCCACGTGGCCAGAGATGCGTCCTCACAGCCCCCTTGCTGGAGCTGAGCATTGGGACAGCTGCCCGAGCCAGAGTGGCTCCACCCGGCCCCTCACTCTGTCTGTGCTGAGCCACCTTGGGTGGAGCTTGCTTCAGTGGAAAACATGGTGTAATCCACCTGCGGGGCTCCTCCCAGCAATGGCCCCGCCTCTGAGCCCCTGGAGCCCGGAGCCGGGACTAAGTGTTTTAAATGACTCCTTGGACACCGCCCTGAGGGCCAAGAGCCTTGTTTTCCTCTCCAGTTAGACACCCTGTAAACAGCCAGGTGCTGGGAGGGAGGGCCTGGGGTTGCTAGGACACCAGCAGTAACAACCAGCTGCTGGCAGAGGAGCAGGTCTGCAGAGCCCTCCCAGGGCGGGAGTGGATGGATGCGGTGGGCATGCCCCTCCCCCACACTCACATGTAGTTGTGGGCCTTTGTCCTCTGCACGGCAGGGCACCCACACACAGTCCTGAGGGACGCTGGGACCTCGCCTGTGAGTGCAGGTGCCTGGTCTGGCTCTTGTCCAGAGAAGTTTGCCCAGTGTGCCCTTGCTGCCCTGTGTCTTCTCCAGCCCCGGGGGTTCGAGGCCAGCGTGGGGCGCCGTCTGTCACATCTGCTTGTTCGGCTCAGTGTCCTGGCCCCTCAGCCAAGCCAGGACCAAGAGCGTCCAGTTGAAGGCAGGGCTGCCCTGGGGCCGGGGACTTGGGCCCCTTTCTCTTGAGTGTCTGCTGGCACGTGGTGTTTCCAGCCTGAAGGTCTCTCTGAGGTGGGCGGGTCAGGCATGTCACCCACAGAGCAGAGAAGGGGAGGCCAGGAGGGACCCCACGTGATGGGAACAGCAGTGGCCCCGTTGCCCCGTCCCCCCAGCTCAGTCGTCTGGGGGACCCGCAGGGCCTCACCGGCACGTTGCCCCCCGCAGGTTGCACAGCTGCCCCTGTTTGTCAGCGATGGCAAGTGGCACCACATCTGTGTCACCTGGACCACGCGGGACGGCATGTGGGAGGCCTTCCAGGACGGGGAGAAGCTCGGCACCGGGGAGAACCTGGCCCCCTGGCACCCCATCAAGCCGGGGGGCGTGCTGATCCTCGGGCAGGAGCAGGTGGGTACAGGGACTGAAAGATGGGAGCGCGCGGGCCAGACGAGCAGCACAAGGCCCGGCCTGCAGGCTGCCCCTCGCCCCGCCCAGCTGTCTGCCTGCTGGAGGGGAGCCTAGGGGCACAGCAGCTGCCTGGAGGGGCGAGCCCCCCCGCCCCCGGCTCTGCTCACACCATCTTGTTGTCTGGGGGGTGAAGGGGGGACCAGGTTGGGGTGGTGGTTCAGACAGTTTCCAGAATGGAGTGCCCCTGGGGTCACAGGTTGGCACCTGGTCTTGGGCAGATGAGCGTTGACTTCAAAGCTGAGCTGGAGGCTGATGGAGGGGGAAGGAGCAGGTGCCAAGGGCCCACGCCCTGCTCTCCTCCCTGTCACCTCTCCCTGGGGAGGGGCTGGAGCTGCGAGACCAGGTCTAGTCCTGGCTTTGGGACTTTGCCCAAGTGTCTCCCCATGTAAACTGGGTGGTGGAGTAAAGATATTTCCCCGGCCAGAGTTGGGAGTCAGGAAAATGCCCTAGTCCTCCGTGCCCCCCACCCAGCTCTGTCTCTCTACAAGCTGGCATCCTCTCCCCAAAGCCAACCCGCTCCCATGCCGGGGGGGTGGGGGGGGAGGTTAGCCTTTGAGCAGCTCTGACGTGGTTCTGTCCCCTCCGCAGGACACCATTGGGGGCAGGTTTGACGCCACACAGGCGTTTGTGGGGGAGCTCAGCCAGTTCAACATCTGGGACCGCGTCCTTCGTGCCCAGGAAATAGTCAACATCGCCAACTGCTCCACCAACATGCCGGGCAACGTCATCCCCTGGGTGGACAACAACGTCGACGTGTTTGGAGGGGCCTCCAAGTGGCCGGCGGAGACCTGTGAGGAGCGCCTGCTGGACTTGTAGCCGCCTCTCCCGTCGGGGGGCGGGGCTCTGCTGACGCCCCGGTTTAACTGTCTGCACCTCCTCCTGAACGAACGGCCTGGGGTCCCCAGGGCCTGAGGCTCTGTGGCAGCACCTGTCTCCGGCTTATCCTTTCCGTACCCAGATTTCGTTGTTTTGGGGGTAGGGCCAGAGTCCCTGGGGAAAGCCCTGAGCCGCCGGAGGGCCACGATCTGACTTCCTCCTCCAGGGGATTATGGACCCTCAGGCGCTGTTCGGAACCCCTGTACATGCTAGTGCACCCCAGCCTGCCCCCCCCATCCTTGGTGTCTCGTGCGCGCCTCCTGTCCGTCCCCTTCACAGCCTGTGCAGCCGTCCCGCTGGAGTGGCCGTGTCCTTGGTGTGTTGAGTACGTCCTGCTGCCCATGAGCACGTAGCAAGCAGCCCCCCCCCCCACCTCCCCCTGCAGTTCTCTAGGCCACGCACCAGGAGGGCAGGCAGCCAGACTTGCCCTGCCCCCTCCAAGGTAGAGGGGTGTCTGTGGCTCCAGAGAGGGAGCTGGGAGGGGTGCTCAGAAGGGAGAAGGCCGGTGGTGGCAGCGTCTCGTCCCCTCCGTGGCCTCTCCCTCAGGTCAATGCTTTGTCACCGAGTCTGGCTTTCGAAGGCCTGTCGTCTCCACTGGTGCCAAAGGTTCCGCTGCAGCTTTTCCAGCCCCTCGGTGTGCGCTAGGGAATTGATTCTTCCCAACGGAAGAGGCCAGCCGTTAGCTGGCGCCCATGTGTGATGTCTCCCTCGCGGTGAGCGGTTGGCGAGTTTTAACCCATCTGACTGTCTCCAGTGTTTCCCCCGGAACTTCTTCAGGAAGTGGGCGTCACCTGGCTGGTCATGTGCTTAGTGACGCCAGGCTGCCGAACTGGTTGGACGGAGGGAGTAGTGGTTACTTTAAAGACACAGCGATGGCCTGGGGAAGTTTATAAAGCTAAATATTATATATTTATTTTTCATACATGTTTGAAGTGCAGATCTGTGGAGATTCCATTTGTAGGACCGCGCTGACGTGCCCATCCTGACCTTGTGTGGATGTTCTCTGTGGCCAGCACACAACGACCGTGGAGTTGTGATTAAAGTACACAGGACGAGGCCTCGGCGTCGGCTTTCTTTGTGTCCGGGGTTGAGGGCAGGGAGGGATGAGGCTCTGCACCCCTCCCCCCAGGTAGCATGAGGGCCACCCTGCTTGGCCTGGCCCTGGGGGCCGTGGGCACACCTGGGGCCGGCGTCTGGTGGACCCAGGGAGCTGAGGGTGCTTGCAGGAGGGTGTGGTGCCCTTCCCTCCTCAACCCCAGGCCTAGGCGGTGGATGTCCCGCAGGCTCTGCCCAGCCTCCCTGTCCCCAGCCCAGCCCTGTCCTCCCAACCAGGAATCGAGTTCAGCTCCCCGACCCTCGGCTCCCCGCCCCAGGCTGGACCCCTGTTCGGGCCTGCTCTGTGTGTGCTCTGCCAACCATCTCCTTCCATCCTCCCAGCAGTAATCCCAGTTCCCAGGTGAACACGGGAACAGTGAGGCAGGGACGTGCATATCGTGTGGCTTGATCAGGAGGCTGGTCAAGGCCAGGCTTGTGCATGTCTAGTTCCGTGACCTTGGCCTTGACAGGCGGCTGGCTTCCCATTGTTTTCTCAAGGAAGCGCAAGGCAAATTTACCAGGTGGTTCCACTTCTCTCTACAAAGCAGCCGCGCTCTCTGTAGTTGCCAGCGCAAATATTCACGGGCACCTCTGAAAGCCCTGTTCAAGCAGAAGTAAGACACTGAAGATTGCATCTCGCGGGGAGATTGACATTTCCTTGTCACTCATTATCCGACACAAGAGAACATGTCCCGGGGGAAAGCTGCACCAAGCCCTGGCTTTCTGTGGCTAAGCGGGGTGGGGTGTGTGTGTGTGTGTGTCTGTATCATGGCTCAACACTCAGGTCTGGCAAGAAATACATTTTCTTCAAAGACTATTTATTGGGAGACATCACATATACAACAGACTGGGCATGACCCATAAATACAGTTTTAAAATAATCATCCATGAAGATTTGTGTAGCGACCACTTGGTTTTAGAAATATTTGTTCAGTGCCTGCTGTGTGCCAGGTACTCTTGTAGGTACTTTGTTGATATCAATGAACAAAAGAAAAGAAAGGTTCTGCCCTTGTGTATCAAACATTCCGGAGGTTGGCAATAACTACTAGACACATGAGTAAGAAAATTATATAGATTTGCTGGAAGTGGGTAAGGGCTGTGGGGAAGGACATGCAGGGCAGAACAAGGAGGAATAGACGTGTGGTTGTGGGGTTGGGTTTGCAACTTAAAGGAGTGGCCTTATCGAGAGAATGACGCCCGAGCAGACTTGAAGGAGGTGAGAGAACTGGCCACTCGGACCTTTACTACATAATTAAACCACACGGGTTCTTCTGTGACTTGCTCTTTTCAACTCAACATTGTGTTTCTGAGATTTCTCCAGGCTGACGTGCATAGCTGCGATTTATTAATTTTCATGCTATGTAGTCTTTTTAAACGCACATTTATCTAAACACATATTTACCTGCTGATAAGCTTTTGGATGGTGTATATCTACCAGTACAATCTGTGAGAATTTTCTCTACGGCCGGTGCCCGGGATGCAATGGCTGGGCTGACAGATATGAGCATCTTCACATTTAACCAGGTTTTACGGGTTGAATTGCGGCTCCCCTCACAGATGTGGAAGCCCTCACCCCCAGCATCTGTGAATGTGAATTTATCTGGAAGTAGGGTCTTTGCAGATGACCAAGTTGAGATGAGGTCAGTAGTTGTGCCCTAGTCCAATATGACTGGTGTCCTTATAAAAAGGGGGAAATCCGGACAGAGACAACCAAGGATGGAAGGAAGACAATGTGAAGACGCAGAGAATGCCATCGACAAGCCAAGAAACAACACCTGAGCTACCAGAAGCGAGGAGGGAGGCCCGGAGCAGGTCCTTCCTTCCCTCCCAGCCCTCAGAAGGAATCCTGGCCTTGGGAACTGTGAACCAATAAATCCTTACTATTGAACCCCCGCACCCCCCCCCACCTCCGTGGATGGCACTTTGTTGCAACAACCCTAGCAAACTAATACACCAACTTGTTTTCCTAAAAGGTTGTATCTATTTGCGTTTCTACCAGCAATAGAGTCCCCATTGCTCCACATCCTCACCAGTGCTTAATGGATTCAGACTTGTAAATTTTTTTTTGCTAATCTGGTGGGAATAACATAATATTTAATTTGCTTTTCGTTTGCACTTCCCTGTTTGCTAAGGCAGCTGAGCATCTTTTCATATGTTTATGCAAATCTGCATTTCTTCTTCCAAGAAATAACTGTTTACATATTTCCCCCTTAGGTTATTTTTGCCTTTTTCTTATTGACTAGTAGGAGTTCTTTGGGTTCTAGAAACGTATTCTTTGACAGTTATATGTGTTGCAAATATCTCCCTCCAGTCCATGGCTTGTCTCCTTGCAGTATTTGTTTCAAGTTTCTTGAAGCTACGCTACTAGGTGCATAAACATTCCAGATTGTTACATCGTCTTGATGAACTGACACTTTTTTATGAAAAATCCTCTTTACCTTTGGTAATATTCTTTGCCCTGAAACCTACTTTGTCTGATATTAGTATGACCACTCCAGCTTTACTTTGATTAGTATTAGTCAGTTGGGTGTTGCTCTTTATGCAATCTGACTTTCACTTGGGGAATTTATACCATTTACATTTATTGTGGCTGTTTTTATGATTAGGTTTCAGCCTATCAACTTGCTATTTGTTTTGCATTTTGTCCCATCTTTTTTGTTCCTTTTTCCCTCTTTTTGTCTTCTTTTGGGTTAACTGTTTTTGTATGATTTCATTTTTTAAAAATATATTTTACTGATTTTTTTACAGAGAGGAAGGGAGAGGGATAGAGAGCCAGAAACATCGATGAGAGAGAAACATCGACCAGCTGCCTCCTGCACTCCCCCCACTGGGGATGTGCACCCAACCAAGGCACATGCCCTTGACTGGAATCGAACCCGGGACCCCTGAGTCCGCAGGCCGACGCTCTATCCACTGAACCAAACTGGTCAGGGCTGTATGATTTCATTTTTATCTCCTTTTTTGGGGGAGAGCCAGAAACATCGATGAGAGAGAAACATCGACCAGCTGCCTCCTGCACTCCCCCCACTGGGGATGTGCACCCAACCAAGGCACATGCCCTTGACTGGAATCGAACCCGGGACCCCTGAGTCCGCAGGCCGACGCTCTATCCACTGAACCAAACTGGTCAGGGCTGTATGATTTCATTTTTATCTCCATTTTTTGGGCTTATTAACTGTAACTATTTTGTTAAATTAAACCATGAAAGGTTATACTACTTCACATAAGGTGCAAGAATCTTAGAACCCTCTATGCTTCCACTCTTCCTTGATGAATTTTTGTCGTACATTTTACTTTTACACGTTATGAACACCACACTACATCATTATTTTTGTTTAAAATAGTGGAATGATTGAGCTGCCTGCCGGGAGCAAGACAATGGGCCTGACAGGGGACGTGGGGGTGGCACATACTGAATGAGGCCCTTGCCTGTTGTGAGCTGGCAGGGTGTGGCTGGGAGGACCCCGGAGACATGGCCACACCCCTGGAGATCGGCCATGATCAGCACCTTCTCTGCAGGGAGCTGTCCCCCAGGACCAGGGCCAGCTCAGTTGCTGTGGACACAGCCGTCATTCACCCCAGGGCAGCAAGTCAGCTGGTTCCCAAGCTGCCCATTAGGAGCGGGGCCTCCGGAAGAGCAGAGGAGGCCAGTGTGGCCTGGCCGAGTTGGTAACCAGAAGACTCACCACGCCCTGGACAGGCAGGCAGGTCTGTGCTGTGCGTGGGGAGCTCAGGTATCCCCTCCCCGTAGGCAGCAGAGTCCTAGCTGCCCTCAGGCCCGGGGAGAGGAGCCTCCACGCGGGAACCTCTCCTCACAGCCCCCTCCTGTTCTATTTCAGGAGTTTCCATCGCAAGAAATAGGAAAACAGAATAAATAAATAAATGTGTGCTTCCAGCAGAGAGAGGCGGTCGAGTGGAGACTGCTGAGAGGAGACTTTCAGAATAGCGTCCCCTGAGAACGTCAGACTCACTCCCGGACGGGGGCGGACAGGCGGATGCTGAGACCACCCCCTGTTTACATGCGGGGAAACGGAGGCCCCAGAGTTCTGATAAAGCCAAGACTCAACCCCAGGCTTCTGAGCAGTGTGTTCTTCATGCGTGCCCTGCACCCCTTATTCTCTTAATAGTGAGATGTAATCGTTTTTATTCCCTGGCATGTAATTCAAAAATAAATGCGGCTTTTGGCCTATTTACAAATCAAGGTGTGTACATGGACCAATTAACCTGGAACCAGGGGGGATGGGAACGGCCAGCAGGGAGAGCCCAGGGCACCGGCCTCAGGCTCCTGCAGGAACCACAGGCTCTGCTTCCCCCGCTTCTCTCTGCCGGGACACACTTGGCAGACACGGTCCACGTGCCTGGCACACCCGGCCCTGACCCAGATTGTGGCTAAGCCCTGAGCATGTCCACAGGGAAGCACAGCACGGCCATGATTCACAACCGCTCAACTGCTGACAGCTGGTCAGGGAGGCCTTGTGGCCTGAGGTGACAGCTGACTGGGTCTGGGCCCAGGTGCACTTGCTGTGTGTCCTTAAACAAGTGGCCACCCTCGCTGGGCCATCTGGAGTGGCCTGGAGTTTTTGACATCCCCCGTCCTGAAATCCCGCCAGGGGTCTTTAGGACAATTTCTCACGAGGAGGCTCCAGGGGCTTGGAATTTGTTTAAGCAACATGACAGCTCAGAAAAGGCAGGCAGGCGTGTTGTTCCCATTCCACAGATGAGGAAACTGAGGCTCGTGGAAAAGAAGGGACTTACTAGTGCAGAGGAGGCTCACTCAGGATCTGGCCTGGCCATGCTGCCCTGAGGGCACACTTCACACAGAGAACGGGGAAATGGGGCATGAGGTGGGGCACGTGCCCTGCTCACAGGCCGGGTAGAGGAGTTACTACTCCTTCGAGGCATCTGAGTGGGAACCTGGGGGGAGCCATCTGCAGATGCCCAGGGCAGAGCCTGGTTCCCATA